ATTATTTATATATATATATATATACATGTAATTAATTGTATAGTACATAAATAATTAATGGCATATGTAGCATATATGTAATTAATAGCATATATATAATTAATAATAAGTAATTGATTTGGATACGATGTCTTAGATTCATTTGAAATTTGTTATCTGAACTATTTGATATCTAAAATATGTTCATTTTGAAATTTATAATTTAAAATTGTCATATTTCGAAATTCTCATTTCTTATTTATTTGAATCGAAAAAATTAATAGAACCTGATCAATAATAAACGGTTTCAACGGATAGGAAATTTCGTTGCCCATATAACTGTAACTTATATAAAGACAAGTTAGTACAACCGATTGCAACTCTTCCACTGTTTTAATCGCTGTATCATTATCCACCATATTTTTCACAAGCATATAAACGAAGACTAAATTTGCCGGATTAATGAATGCTACATCTTGCCAGCCCTAAAATTACTTCTGATATGTCAATAAAAAAAAAATTCCCCATTCAATAAAATATCATTACTATAATTTAAACAAACAAAAATTCATCCTATGAATTCAATTATTAAATTAAATTGAAATTAATCTCATATGATAACTGTCAACAAGATCTTAACTTGTTATTTTTATTGATTAAAATTTTCAATGATAAAATTTTTATTTAAAATATTAAAATACCTGTAACAAAAGTGCCCTATCAATTGTTCTAAGCCACATGACAAGTTGAGCAGGCTCAAAATGTCGAATATGACATTTTTTCGATAGATATTGTCCAAGGCCACGAAGTAATTCCGATGTAGATGCCTGGATCACCGTCCTCCTCTTTATATTATCATCTAGCACTGATACTGTAAATATAGAACTCATTATCAGCATTATTTCCAAAGATGTAATTTATTATAACAACAAGTGCTAGATGATAATATTACGACGATTCATTAATAAACATAAATTTATAATTACCATTACGTGCTAAGTAATTTTTCATCAACTTTTACTAATGCGGAATGCAGGAAATTAAGAACATAAAACAAAAATGTCGAATATATATATATATATACGATATTTTAATATTTCTACAAACAATAATAATGATTATATAATTGAAATTTTCCATTATTTGCAGACATTAATTATAGAGAATAATTATCATTATTACCATTAGAATTATTATGAAGATTATTATTAGAATTATTATGATTAAATGATTATCATGAAAATGTTTTATATTACCTTTTGCGGTACAATTCGTGGAAGTTTTCTTATTGGATTTATAAATTTGTTTATCAATGGTCGAATCAGTAATACCCGTTGTAGCAGCAGTATTATCATTATTTACCGCACAACTACTACCAAATGGTTGTTTTTGAGCATGATGTGTTGGTGATAATGGTGTCTTTGCTTGATGACAAATAGGACTGATTAAATTATTATTAACAAAATCCTGAAAATTTCCTTTAAAATTATACAACATATGAGTATTTCATTTGTTTCAATATAATTGCTAAAACATAAATTATTAAGTATCTTAAAAACAATTTTAAAAAATTTTAATTTCCATAGAAATCATTAATCTTAATAAATCCAACCGGCAAGCATAGGAACATCTGTGTAATGATGAAAGATTTGAATGATAAGTGAGAAAAATTTGCATATTATATCAGTGCCTCAAAAAATAATGTTATAAGATAATTTTTACTTCCTCTCGTCATAAATGAAAATTTTTGATTTCGAGTATAGCTGTAAAAAATGAACTGATATACTATAAATACACTAATAAAGATTAGATATGATAAAATCAAAATTCCGTAATTTATCAGCAATTTAAAATCAAAAATCAAAATTCCGTAATTTATCAGTAAAGTCTAAAATCAAAAATCAAAGTTCCGTAATTTTCAATAATCCAAAATCAGAAATCAAAAACAATAAAATCAAAATTCTGTAATTTATTAGTAATTTACAAATAATCAAAATTTCCGGAGAATTTATCAAACATGAAGCAGTTATTCCGGAAAAATGATAATTATAGCTCATGAAAAGAAATGTTTAGAAATTGAGAAATTCTTCAATATTTTTTACTACTCATTGAAATATTCTCTTTGATCGTAATATGTGAGCATATTTTATTAACGATAATTTTAACAAATAGATTCGATGAGGAAAAATCTCCACCAAATATAAATCTTTCAATTCCTTCTTCAATTATGATAGGAAGAAAGTAAAGAAGAAAGAGTGAGGTTATTGATTGAAATTAAATTGAAATTATGTAGCAATATCATTTTATTAAAATTAACATAATATAAAATGATTGATTTAAAATTTCATATAAGTTAAAATTTAATAAAGTGAAAATAAAATATCGAAGGTTAGTAGGAAGTAGCAAGTGAAATGAATATTGGTCACAAGTAAAACGTGATGTGATCGGATAATAATTTCAGTACGTGCAATGATTGGTAAGCAGAGTAAATAATAAAAGTAAGCGTGTATATTTCAATAAAGCATTATTTTACTACTGCGAATTCTTACAGTGAAATTAATCAGTACGTGAAATTTAAGTAATCAATTTGACGTAAAATAGAAAGAAAATTTTTAATAGTTAATTTAAATTCCAATTCCAATTAATTCTGCTATAGAAAGATTAAGATTTAATTTGGATAATTTTAATTCTCAACTCAAAATGTATTAATTAGAATATTAAGTATTTCATTTTCATTTCATTTATTACATAACAATTAGTTGAAATTTTTATGCAAATTATGCGATACATAATGAAATTATTTAAAATAATCCGTTAGCTATTTTTGGAGATGATATAATTAACAATTTTGGGAGAATGAAAAAAGAAAGAAGTTTGTAAAAAAAAAACAATAAATGATAGATAATTAATAGATAATGATAGGTAATAATAATAGTAATAAATAATAATAATAATGTGATAGATAATAATGATAGATAGTAGATAATAAAATGATTAAAAGAAATTTTTCAAATTGAAATTATCGATAAGTAGCAAATGAAAAAAATGAAAGAATAAAAATTTTAAATTTAAAATGATGAAAACAAAATTCCATGAAACTTTCTTTTCTGCTTCTCTTCAATGAAACAAAATTTTGAACAATATTTGAAATATAGTTCAAGTAATAAAAGTAGGAAAAAGAAATGAAGAAAATTTGTCACAAACCTGTTTACTAAGTTTTAATTCTCGTTTTAGTTCTTTTCGTATACTGTAATAATTGGGTATAACAGTTGTCGTATCAATAATAATTAATGAATTACGTCGATTCTTTGCCCGATTTGTTACAGTTGATTCATACTTTTTATAATTTTGATTACTATCTAAGGTTAGTGATAATTGTCCATATGGAATTTCACGTGAATTTTTTCCTCCTTGATTTGTTGACAGTAGTAGCATAGAATCTGTGGAATGTGATGTTACCGTTGTAGCTCGTTGTTTTTGCGCTTGAGCTTGCATTTGAAGCTAAAAATTTTTTCAAATTATATTTAATAAATTTTATTTCAATTAAATGCTGTAAAATTTTGCATATTTATATTTTGGATAAATGATTTTATGTTTGCCTAAAATAAAATATTGGATAAATGATTTAATATAAATAAGCATATAATATCTGACTTAATTATTATTATTATTGTTATATTCATATTCAATAAATAATAAATTAAATTAAAAGAAAATCGAAGTTAAGGCTGAATTTTCGAATATAACATATAATATCTCGCTTTACTATTATTGTTATATTCATATTCAATAAATAATAAATTAAATTATAAGAAAATCGAAGTTAAGACAAAAATTTTTGAATCTATTTAAAATGTATGAAAATCAACTTTAAAAAGAAAAATGACACAAAAATTTGATGGAAAATTTGAAGTCTAAAAATATTTTCATTTAAATAATTAATTAAAAAAATGATGGAAAAAATGTGAAGTAAGAAATTTTTTAAAAAAGCAAAAACTTGCGAAAATATTGAGTAAATTTTTGAAATTGATAAATTAAAACTTTTACTTAATAAAAACAACAATACGTAATAAAAACTAGTATACTTAATTTAAAAAAGGAAATGAAATTAAAATAACTGATGAATCTTACAAACTATCATAGCCAAATGTAATACTTAATAAAAACTAATACACTTAATTTAAAAAAGGAAATGAAATTAAAATAACTGATGAATCTTACAAACTATCATAGCCAAATGTAATACTTAATAAAAACTAATACACTTAATTTAAAAAAGGAAATGAAATTAAAATAACTGATGAATCTTACAAACTATCATAGCCAAATGTAATACTTAATAAAAACTAATACACTTAATTTAAAAAAGGAAATGAAATTGAAATAACTGATGAATCTTACAAACTATCATAGCCAAATGTAATACTTAATAAAAACTAATACACTTAATTTAAAAAAGGAAATGAAATTGAAATAACTGATGAATCTTACAAACTATCATTGCCAAATGTAATACTTGATAAAAACTAATATACTTAATTTAAAAAATAGAAATGAAATTGAAATAACCGATATAAACTATCGCGGAAACCTTGTAAAATGTTGAGTTAAATTTTTGAAATTGACAAATTTAAACTTTTACTTAATAAAAAACTACAACACTTAATAAATGTAATAATTAATAAAAACTAATATACTTAATTTTAAAAAAAGAAATGAAATTGAAATAACCGATGAATCTTCTAAACTATCATAGCCAATAATACAAATGCGCCTTTTTCTTTATACGTGCAATTTGCATTACATTTCTATTTTTTTGAAATGAGTTGTTCCTAAATTACTTCTTCTTTTAATCTAACAAAATGATAATGCAAATGTAATTTTTAGTTTGAAATTATATGAATGGAAAGAAATGGAATGATGAGAAAATTTTCTTTAATTAAAAAAAAAAATTTTTTTAATGAATATAGGAAAATGTAATTGATGAAGAATGACTTATTTATTTCAATTTAATGAAAGCTAATTCGATGAAGCAAAAGCAAAAAAATAAATAAATAATGTTTCTGAAAATAAAAAATGATTGAAGCTTTAAAATATAAAAAAGAATGGATTTTAGGATAATTTCATCCATTCCAATTAATTACTTTTTAGCTAACTTCTTTTTTTTCTTTTCATTTGAAAATTGATGCCAAACAGAGAGAGAGAGAGAAAGAGAGAGAGAGAGAGAGAGAGAAAGATGGAAAGAAAAAAAAAACGAAAATACAAGCCTATTTAAACAGACAAATTTAAATACATAGATAAGTACACACACAAACACACACATACACACATACACACACACACACACACACACATATATACGCCACATATATATCTATATATATTCATATTTACATTTGTATGCAAACACACAAATAGCTTCTTTGGAAACCCATTATCCCTCTCTTCTATCACTAGGCTTCATTGGCTTATTTTCAATTAAAAAAATTTTTTTCCCCCGTCATTTCTTGAAGGCTTGTTTTATTCTTCCAGACAGTGTTCCGATGAAGTATAGAGACAAATATCTTTTCAAATCATTTTTCTTTTTTTCTTTGTTTTAGCTTTTTCCTTTTCTTTTCAAATAATTTCCAAAGATTATCAAATCCAAAAAGAATGAGCAAAAAGAAGAGAAGAGATGAGAAAAGAAGAAAAGAAATGACGAAATAATAATATGAGAATAATAATAAATTAAGAAATCATTGAATTAAATAAATTATTTGCATTAAAAATGATTAGTTTATTAATTTTATTTTATTTCGTAAAGTTTAATCATTTTAATAATTTAATAAATTTTAACAAAAAATTTTCTCTCTCTCTCTCTCTTTTTCTCTTTTGTTTTTATTAATTGATTAATTGATTGATTGATTAATTTGTATTGATAAAAATATTTTGTGAAATGATACGTTTTGTAAATCATACAAAATATTATCAATTATTTCCAATTATTTTTATCAATCAATCCAATCTCAATTGTACTATTATTAATTGCTCTTTTTTCCAAATTTGTTTTTTGTTTTATTTATTTATTGTTAAATTTATTAATTAAAACATAATTTATCCTCTTTTTCTTTCTTTCTCTATTGCTATTAAAACTACAAAAAGAAAATAATTTTTGAAGTAGAAGTATTTTTTGTTTAAATCAGCATTTCATACGTAAACATGCAATTTTACTGAACAATTCAAAATAATATATTTCATAAGAAAACGTGCAGTTTTACTAATTCAATTCAGAATTATATATAATACATTTGTATACGTGCAATTTATTGAACAATTCAAAATAATATATTTCATAATTAAACGTACAGTTTTACTAAATCAATTCCGAATTATATATTTTATATGTATACGTGCAATTTATTGAATAATTCCGAATAATATATTTCATATGTAAACGTGCAGTTTTACTAAATCAATTCAGAATAATATAGCTAAATGAGAAGAAAATAAAAAAAAAATTAGTCTAAATTTATGCAATCTTTTTAATCCTTAAACGCCTAATATGAGATAATTGAAATTAAGAGCAAATATATCAAATGAATAACTATTTCATTTTATTCTAATTATTTTTCAAATGTATTAACAAATATTGTCAGAATAATGAAGGCATTGCTTTATCGTATCTCTGTAGACGTGCATATATGTATACGTGCAATTAATTTACATGTATACGTGCAATTTACTGAATTGAAAGCACAAAAATTTTATGTTAGACTTCTTAACATTTATTTATCAATAACTTTTGTTATAATTAAAAAATCTTGGATTTCTAAAACAAAGAAGGAAAAACATGAAAAAATGTTGAACTAACTTGTTGTGCAGCTTTTTTAGACCAATTCCATCCTGCTGCAAATACTGATTGCTTTTTGGTTTGTATCGTTGTCAAAGGATGATTGCGAAAAGTTGATGGAGCATCCGGTGCGACAAATAAATGATTGCAAACGCTAGTTGGCGGTTGATGTGATACGGGTGATGTTAAAGAAGCACCCATTTAGTATATTATCCCGATGAATTGTTGTGATTGGTTTAATAACTACCAAATGTTCAAATTTTACAAAAGAACATTAATTAAACCAATTAAGACGAATTAGTTTCTTTAGTTGATGTTACCAAAATTATTCATTCCAATATGAATATGTTGAAGGAGAAAAAATATTGAACGCAAGAATTGATTTTTAGTAATGAAATTTATTAGTTTAATTTCAGTTACAAATTAGTTGCATAAGTTTAGAAATTAAATTAGCAAAATTTGCATTGGACAATCGGCTGATGAGAAATTATTCAAAAATGTCCATTGCCTATTTAAAATAATATAATTCCAATTAATGTTTCAGCCAGAAATACAGCAAAATTTTCCGAATCAATCTGCTGATTAATAACTCCAAAATTTTCCCAATCGATAATAAGCAATATACGTGTATTTTATTTATAATGAAAATTCATAACCTGGAAAATATTAAAACTCTGGAAAGGAAAATATCGCACGTCATTTACGTTTGTAACTGATAATTTTTTACTGGTATATTTGAATTTGTGCCAAATTATTTATAACAAAATAATAATAATAATAAACACAAATAATAATAATATATTATAAAAGATGCATTTTTATCAATAAATTATAAATTAACTGCAAGAAGAAATAATATATAATCACAGTACTATTAAAATGTGAAGCTGAGTGGAGGATATGAACTAAGCGGTTTTAAATTGAATTTTAGAAATTTAAAAATTAAAGTTGAAAAAATTGGAATTTCGCCTAAAGCATTTTCTTGGGTTTTAATTAATAACGTTATATTTAAATATAGTAGTCTTTTCTTCCTCTTTTTGTTACCGTTTCTATTCTTTATTATCATTTCTCTCTCCTCTCTCTCTTTTTCGCTTAATACTTTAGTGGTTTATATGATAACAAAATATCCTAATATCAGTCAACTTCAACGATTTTAGATTATAATATCGGGTGACTTATAAAATTTAATGTAATTTCATTATTTATAAAATATTAATTGAAATTGTAATGATATTTAAGGCTGTCAAAAAGGATAACTAATGCTTTTAATAAAAATTAAAACATAAAAATGCATAAAATATACAATAATTACCCTTTTATTTAATTATAAGAAAAAAGAAATTGAAAAACTAATACTACATATAATTCCAATTTAAAATATGTTTATATAAAAGTTCAATAAGTTTAAATTTGAGATAGTAATTTTCATATGCAAATTATGAGTTATGATAATTATACTAATGATATAGCTCAAGAAGAAATCATTTAAAGAGTAGGACAAAATTAAAAGGGAAAAAATAAGTGAAATTTGAAATTTTTAAAATTCCTTGATTTTCAGATTAAATGTTATTTCAAATTTAACCTTGAAACATCTGGCATATGTTCATGTAAACAATACCAGGCTTAATTGTAAATAATTCTCAGTTTTTCCTTCTATTTTTCTCCTTCTCATTTTTCTCTCTTCCCAACTATTTACTATCATTCGCTCAATTACATTTTCTCTTTTACGGCTTTTTAGAAAATACATCATCAACTCTTCTGTCACGAACAAATCTTTATATGTTGAAATTGATAAAGCAAATTAAAAAGCTTTGAAGCTAATTTGAAATATCAATTATATTGTTTTACAATGCTTTTACAGTATCCGTTACTATCAAATGTAAATGATCGAATTGTCATTTCGATTGATAAATGATGATAATGTTGTCAATAGTGAGACTAATTATGGGATAATTAAAACGAAAATATCAAATTCTATTAAATTTCAATAATTTATTTGGAAGTGAAATAGTCATTTCAAATAATTCAATTATAACATTTCATTATAGTAATTTAAATTAAAATAATTTAATAACAACATTTCTTTATAATAATTTAAATTAAAATAATTTAATTACAATATTTCCTTATAATAATTTAAATTAAAATAATTTGACTACAACATTTCATTTACGATTGTTGTTATTCCAAAAATTTTAGCAAATCTCAATTCCCATAAATGTTTTGGAAATTTAATTTGCTAAAATGCTTAACTTTATTTTATTTGAAAAAAAAAAATATTTTAGCACTTAAAATAATTAGTTGTAATGAAAGAAAACGATGTGTAAAGAGAAACGGATGATAGGTTGGTTGATTAAGAAATAAGGCGGATGAAATGAATGAATACCATAGTGATTGCAATGACCATTGCATGTGGAGAGAGGATGGATGGATATGTTTGTGAGCAAAATTGGCTTTTAGGCTTATCCTTTAGTGGTTTATAGGCCCTAAAAGGCTAAATGGAAGATGAGTCATAAGTATCCTTATTTCGTATAAGTTACTTACATATGAAGCCAAGCAAATAGATGAGAATAAAATAACTATTTTGAAAATTTGGTTTCATCGATCATCTCTCTTCCCTTAAATCGTTCGCAATTTTCCAGTTAAGGAATTTAATTTTCGTTTTTATTCCTTTCATGAATTTTGTGGAAAATAAAAGCCAAAAATGCATGATGAAATTTTACTCAATATTTCTCTACAAAAATCACATGATAACAAATAATTAAGGTTGCACTAATTACCATCTAATTGTTTTTGTATCATCTAATTGTTCGTATTCAAATAAACAAATAAATAAACAAATAAACATATTCGAAACAAATTTTATTATCTAATTGTTCGTATTCAAATAAACAAATAAATAAACAAATAAATATATTCAAAACAAATATAATTATCTAACTATTTGCAATTCAACCATTTCTCTATGAAAATAGATCATAAAATTTATTCATTTAAATATTTTAAAAAAAGATTATCGCCTATTTTTATATTAGAAAATATTTCAAACGTTCAAACGATGGAAAACAAATGACCCGATATTTTGCTAACTGACATAATACTCCAACGAATGAATGGAACATTCTTATTGCCAGTCAATACCATTTCATTTCATTCCATCTTTTCCTCTTTTATAGCATTATATCGATGAATTTTTATGGAAGCCTTAAGGCTTGATTAACTAATTCAACATCTCATTTCTTTTTTTTTTCTGGCATTAAAAGACGACGAAGAAATCACAATTGTAAATGAGGCGAAAAGGAACGAATAATAAGGAATAATATCAGTGATAAAATTGAAGAATTATTAAGTAACATGAAATATAATAGGATATTTTCTAGTTTATAAAATGTTATTTAAATAGCACTAGCATGAACAACATTACTCTAAATTGTGCGCTAACATTTCGAATATTCAAAATTAGAAGAAAGAGAGAGATAGAGAGGAAGAAATTTTGGAAGATGAAGAGAAAGAACGAAATTGAAATAAGGGATGGCTTCAGAACCGATCATCATAAACTTATCTTCTCCACTTCTTCCCTTTTCTCTTTGGTAACAACTCCTTTTCATCCTTCATCCCTAAAATCTTCCCTTACTCTAACATTTTTACTGAATATTAACAACGAAATAGTTTTGTTGATTGTCACCACTGGCCAAAAGACATCCTTGTCTCACAATAGTTGAAATGAGCCTAGTCTCTTGTGTGTATGTGTGTATATATGTTTGCTTGAGGAAGAGGGACATAAGCATACTTGATTCGTTTCCTTTCAATTCATCCTTTCTTCTTCCGTTCTTCCGTTTCGTTTGATAATTTTTTTTCACATCTTTTCCTTCCATTTTATTTTAGCATCAAAAAAATCCTATGATTTCATATTATATCCATCCTTAAATGTTTTATTGATTTTTTTAACTAACTTTTTGATTAAAGTTTACACGTGAACTAAGTACACGTAAAATATTATTTCACGTAAGCATCAAAAATTTATTAAAAAATATTAGGATAAAAAAGTGAGCAATGAAACAAACGTCTTTGTTTTAAATATAAAATGAAGCATGTCGAGATCATTAAAATTGATTAAAGTTTACACGTATACTAAGTACATGCAAAATGTTATTCACGTAAGCATCAAAAATATATTAAAAAAATAATAGGATAAAAGATGTAAGCAATTAAACAAACGCTTTTGTTGTAAATATAACATCATCAAGCATATAGAGATCATTAAAATTGATTAAAGTTTACACGTGTACTAAGTACACGTAAAATGTTATTTCACGTAAGCATCAAAAATATATCAAAAAATATTAGGATAAAAGAAGTAAACAATTAAACAAATGCCCTTATTGTAAATATAATAATAAGCATATAGAGATCATTAAAAATAATTATATTTTTCAAACGAATAAATATAAAGATAATGATAACACATCAATGAAAACATCCTAACTATAAATAATGTTACATTTTTAGTTTAATGAATACTTCATCTGATCAAAAATAATTTTGCCTAAAATTTAAAAAGAAACTTTAGAAAGAAGAAAATGAGAAGTTTTCTTGTGAAATATATATCCCACTATTCGCTTTTTAAATTTATTACTATTTTTATAATTTGAAATTACTTCGCAGTTGACAGACAGACTCGTAGACAGTTTAAATAAATTATATAAATTTTTGTTCAATCAAAAATAATGCAAATTCTCTTTTATCTTTTGTGTCGCTAATTGTCAAAAATATTTTTCCCTTCTTGAAAAAAAGATTTTTAAGCTTTTAATTAAGGCTTTTAATTAAAGGAAAAAATATTTTGCAAAACTGCAAAAGTTTTGTGCTGCAACATAAATGCGACATTTTTCGTCGATTTGCTAAATTTGTTGGAAAAAGAAATTGAAACTATAGTTAATTTCTTATTTCAATAAAATTTCAACTATAACAATTAATACTTCAAGAAATTTTGAGTGTAGTAATTTGAACCTTAAACAAATATATTAATTAAATTAAAAATGTTATAAAGTTTATATTACCAGGAAAACAATGCTTTCTAAATTAATTCTTAGCAAAACAATCCTTAAGAATAGTTGCACCGAAATACTTTTTCCGTTAACTGAAAAGGATGTTAATTAGAGGAAAAGTAAACGGAATGAAACAATTTGCAATATACTTTTGAAATTAAATTTTGGTAGACAAATGTAAACAGTAATGGTAATTTGTGAAATTAAATTTTAGTAAATAAAAGTAAACAGTAATGGTATATACTTTTAATCATTCGATATAAAGAAACTTTGCAGACATATTCATATTCATTCTATCAATTTGATTAATTAAATATACTAAAATTCGATAAAATTATTGCCCAAAAAATGTAAACAAAATTGTAAACAAAATTTTTGTTTATTATTTTTTTGTTTACTAACGGAATTATAATAATTTAAAAGAAAAAATGAAAGCGAAAAATGAAAGAAAAATATTAAAAATTTATTTTCACTGTTGACAGTAATTTCTATAAGTGTAAGCAAGTTTTTATTTATTTTCAGAATCCATTCTCTTTGAGATATTTGATAATTTTATCCATTCCAGCATTTTAAAGTAAAAGCAAAAAGAGAAATTAATTGAATTAAAATAAAAACAAAAGAATAAATGAAAAGAAAAATTTTGAAAATATCTTTGAAAATTTAAAGAAAAAATTCATTCTAAAAAATCACCAAAAAATTATTAGAATTTCAGGTTATATTATTGTTGCAAAACACTTGTCATATACTAATTACAGTGAGTTAAAAGTGAAACTATCAAATTAGTCTTTTTTGTTTTCAAAATTAGATATGTGAGATAAGAAAGATTAAGTCTTGAAAATTCTGAAACTCTTGAAACTCTTGAAAAAATCTTGAAATTTAACTCTTAAATTTTTTTGTCAATAAAATATTCTATTATTGATATTGGCATATAAATGTGATGATAATCAACAATGTCTTTTCATTTAGAAAAAGATAAACTCATTGTCGTGTATTTTCTGCAAATTTAAGATATTGAAAATTTTGAATACAAATTTCAATAAAACAATGATAGTTTAAGTACCACATAATTTAAATACAAATAGGAGATACAAAAACTTTAGGAAAATAAGAAACGAAAAAATTCGATGACATGACTACTAGATCACATCCAATCTCGGCAATCCTATAAATCATTCAATCCTAAATTTTTATATCAAAGAAATATGGGAAACTATGTTTGACAAAGTTTCCATCAAGCTTTGCATGCATCAATTTCACGTCATTTGTAACTGTTCATTGGTTTCCGTATTTTATCTTCGAATGCTTTTTACATACCGCACGGTTTGTACACATACCCGCATTATTATTTGGGATAAGTTCTTTCATGAATACTCATTTTCTCCGAGTAACATGCCCGTGGCTGCAACCAATGCATAACGGGATTTGAGATATTTGTGTAATTGTATAAATAATTACAGAATGGTTCACCAACATTTTACAATTGGCTCAACCAATGCTACAATAATACTACAATAATAATACTACAATGATTATACTACAGTTATACTATTTATACTACAATGATTTTCTGCCCAATAGGTGTGCAAGCAGACAAACGATACGGGAATTATATTCAATGAAATGAAGAGAAAAAGTGGGTACCAGTAAAACAATACTAATATATGCAGGTAAGGTAAAAATATGCAGGTAAGGAATAACAATAACAGCAAAGAATGAAAGAAAAGAACTTAAAATTATGAATGAATAATTAAATGGCAAAGGTTCAGTTAACGAAATACCGAAATAATTTGCGTACCGGAAATAGCAGCGATATTTCGGTTTAATTAGTCATGTGTGATTTCAAAATGCTTAGAAAACTTTGGTTGCATAAAATTCAATTCAAAAGAAGCTACTTATTACTATGACATTGCATGTGCTCTTTAAATTTATCACTTCGATAGTTTTTCACATGGATAATTGAACCGCTTTTTACCGGTACAGGTCTTCTTCATATGTATCCTCAAACGCGATGATCGTGAAAAACTTTGATTGCACATCGGGCAACTGTTCGGCTTTTCATTGGCATGAGTTCTCTCATGTTGTCTCATGTTGGATGGATCAGAGAAACTTTGATTGCATATCGTACAGCTGTACGGTTTTTCACCGGTATGAATCCTATCATGTCTTACCAAATGCGATGGATCAGAGAAGTTCTTATTGCATGTCGAACAACTGTACGGCTTCACACCGGTATGAATCCTCTCATGTATTATCAAACTCGATGATTGAGAGAAACTTTTCCCACATATCGTGCATCTGTGCGGCTTTTCATCAGTATGCGCCTTCTTATGAACACTGAAATGCGATGATTGAGGAAAACTTTCCATCTGTCCTTTGTTCGTTTCATTAATTGATGAATTTTGTAATTGTATTTGTTCCTCACTCACTTTCCGCACCGATAAATCCAACGGCTCTGTTTGTACCGTTTGTGCTTCCTGAAATTATATGAAATTATCCATTTCATTTAGCGTTGAATATTTGATACCTTTGAGATATTAAAATGTTTTATTTTTTAAATCTTTAATGAACTCACTGAAATTTTGATGCTTAATTGGAAGAAAAAGGCGAGAAAGGTGAAATGGATGAAATGCATATTGATTGATATGATTTCTTGCCGATTCTAAAAAAATATTCCAATTTACGAATATATTATGGAGTGGTTGCTTATAAGAAATCACACCGCTCGCTCTTTGACAAATAGCTTTAAAAAAGAAATTTCTTAAAAACAATGCATTTCAAAAAATATGAACATCGAAAACGCAACAGTCATGCATTCATTGCGAGCACAATAAAGGCATTATTCATCCAAATAATAAGCAAAACAACTTATTGCCGTCTGGAATTCGTCCGCTGGTGTTCCAAGGATAAACTTCATAGAAAAGTACGCAATTCTGATTTCAAAAAAGGTTGATTATTTATAGTTTTATTGTGATGTCGTAAATCTTCCACATAACGCAAAATTTTGGGAAAAGGACATCTTTGTTGAAATAAATGAAATAGTGTTTACTGAATGAAATTTGTGGAAGGACAACGATCGCCAGATAGCTTTTATTAGAAACTGTCAAACGATCATATCTGTAAATGCTTATAAAGATAGGAGTGACGAACAACTTGCATTAATAATTCATGTTTAACAATAAAATAACAGTAGTTGATGTTTAATCTGTCATACTAAATAATTTTATTTCAAGCTATTACATTGAATTGTGACGAATAATTTATGCAAAGCACTGGCATATAGTTCATTTTTTGCAAAATTTCATTTCATTTGATTTCAGTTTTTCCGTGCTTTCAAAATTGAGGTGGTAATAGTAAGTTATTCTCACTTATATAAACATTTACAGATATGATCCTTTGACAGATCAGATAAGCGCATTTTAAATTGAAGCACTCGTTGCTATTTGTGGTACTCTAAATTGTTTTTGCTATTCCATTATTTGAATTCTTGCAATTTAATTATTCATTCATATATTTCATTTATCTGATCGCATACTTATTGGACACATAATCATTGTAATAATAGTTACGGGATAAATCACTTATATGATTCTGAGGAATGAATTCGTGTTGAGATGTAGCAGGCCTTATGCATAGACAAGCAACTTATTTACGTTTATTGCCATGATATAATTAGCTAGAACATTATCATTGTTATCATTGATATGCCGGATTGCTTTTGTCAACATTCAAATTTCTGTTAAAGATTTTACAATATACTTGATTGAAATGATAATGAAATAGATTATTTCATCATATATAGCTGATAGAAATGCTAATGGACTGGAAATAATATTTTATCATTTATACTTAGACTGAATTCGTTATTAACATATATGACTTTTGTTAAATATTGATTGATTATTAAAGGATAATTTTGTCGATTGATAATTGATTATCAGAAAACAGTGAATTTTTGACCGATTTTTGAAAGGTAATCTTATTGATTTGATTATCAGCATATTAACCATCGATAAACACGCATCTTTAGAAATTATTAAATAATACTTGTACATATATATAATTAGCAAAGCCACATGATACTGTAACTTAGTACATATGATTTGTAAAATCAGCCGTAATTTGTAAATCATTCTAAAAAAACTGATAGATAAAATAATATTGTTGTATTGGGAATGCAAAAATGTATTGAAAATGGATTAAAGATTTATGATTTAAAGATTTAAAATAAAGATAATAAAGATTTAAAATCACTGTAAAGAATAAAGAAGAAACGAAATTACAAATGTACAGAATTGATTTAAACTTTTAATTTTTTGCAATTGAAAGCTTCGGCCAAATAATTATCATTTTAAGAACAATAATCACTATTATTTTTATTACTATTCATTACTATTAATATTATTACTATTATTATTAATTATTGGTACAATAATTATCATTATTATTTTTAGTATTGTTATTATCAATTGCTGTTATTAATAATAATAACGATAATTAAGCTCATGTGAAAAATATGTATTTGGAAAAGTAACAAATGGAATTAGCAAATCGTAGTGACCTGAAATTATCCTAAAATCAGCATATAATATCAGCAGTACCACAAAAACAAAAAAAATTTCTTGTATTGAACGATATTAACCAAATAGTAAACCAAATAAACCAAATAATATAATTACAGTATACACCCATACAAAACGTATAATCTTCATATTTCAAGTTCATTTCTTAATTATTATCATCATTAATACCATAATTATCACAAGTAATTTATCAATCTTTGTTTTTATCAAAATGTACAATTTGCTTAATTTGCATAATTGAAAATTTAAATAAAAAGTGAGAGAAAATATTGAAATTATCAAAAGCGTTGTAGAGAATGAAAATTAAGAAAATAAGAGAAGAAAAGGAATTAAATTAGAAAGGTATGCATTTTGAATAAAAAAAGAAAATGTATTAATTAATTAATTAAGGAAGTTAACATTTTTTTTCTTCCTAATTCATATACCATTTTGAAAACTTTTTAGTTTAAAAGTTAAATTATGTCAATCTTATCATAAAACAATCGAAATGAGTGCAATCAGAAAATTTGCTTCATTTCAATACTGATTGATTAATTAATTAATACATATTTAACAGGTGAAATTGCTGGGACGACGAATAAATGATTGAGAGGATGATAATTGTTTGAGATTTTTAAAAATTTTAATTAATTCAAATTTAATTAAAATTATAAAAAATAATACTTTTTGAACATTCTACTTATTCTATAGACAACCTCAATAATATATTTAAATTTGAATATTTTAAAAATATATTATTGTCAATTTCCTAGTTAAACTAGTTTTCATTCATTAAAAGACTATCATTGGATGAAAAATCAGTAATGATAAGATTAAATCTTTTTCAATTTATTGTTATACAGCAAAAACAAAGTTCTTCAAATTTTTTGCGGCTTCTAAGAAATAAATAGCAATCATTGCGAAAGAAACCAACAAAAAGAACTCATCCAAAAATTGAATTAAATGAAATCAGTAATTAAATAAGAAATGAAAAAAGAAATTGAAATAAACGAAAGATATTATTTTGTTTTGCATTATATTAATTTGCTTTCTAATTTAATTACCGATTTAATAAAAAAAATTTTAAGATAAAATCTTCAATAAAAATATGAATGAAAAAAGGAAATGATAAAATTCGGCGGAAGAATGAAAACAAACAATATGAATTTTATCCGAATCGGAAAACGATAAATGAATACATAAAATGATGAAAGTTTTCCTATTCACA